CACACAGAGACACACACACACACAGAGACACACAGACACAGACACAGACACAGACACACAGACACACACACACACACACAGACACAGACACACAGACACAGACACAGACACAGACAGAGACAGACACAGACACAGACAGACAGACACAGACAGAGAGAGACAGAGAGAGACAGACAGACAGACAGACAGAGACAGACAGAGACAGACAGAGACAGACAGAGACAGACAGAGACAAACAGACAGACAGAGACAGAGAGACAGACAGACCGACAGACCGACAGACGGACAGACAGACAGACAGACAGACACACACACACACAGAGACACACACACACACACAGAGACACAAGAGACAGACAGACAGACACAGACAGACAGACAGACAGACAGACAGACACAGACAGACAGACAGACAGTCAGACAGACAGACAGGCAAGCAGGCAGGCAGGCGGACAGACAGAGAGACAGACAGACAGACAGCCAGGCAGACAGACAGCCAGCCCCTCAGGCAGGCAGGCAGGCAGGCAGGCAGGCAGGCAGACACACACACACACACACAGAGGGACAGACAGACAGACAGACACAGACTGAAACAGACAAACACAGACAGACACAGACACACTCACACACACACACACTCTCACACACACACACCCATATACACATACACATACACATACACCCACCCACCCACCCACCCACCCACATCCTCACGCACACGCACACACGCACACACGTTGGAAAGGGGAAATGAAGAGTGTTTATGACTTCTTCGGCTGTCTTTCCACAGTTCCACCGTGCCAACAAACGAGGCTGAGAAGGTGGCCTGACGCTGCTGATTCTTCATCTCCACCTCCCGACCAGCCTCTGGGAGCCGATCCCCAGCGGATCGAAAAGGAATGGAAAGGATACACGGATGTACGTAACTTGAGACGGAAAATGCCTCCGTTCATCCGCGAATCCACGACTTGGTGTCAAAGCACGGGGCCTGCTGCTCAGCCAGTCTGGTGATGAAGTCGTTGCTTGAAAGCTCCTGGAGGAGAAATGAAAGGCAACACTTTCAGTTTTAGAGGCCAAGTGGCAATGCTTGAGCTTACATCCTACTTCGCCATCTGCCCATATATCTTATTTATCGCATGGCACGACCCTGTCTCGCACACGGATGAATGATGCTGATGGCCATCGGCTTAGATTCCGCCCTTTACCTCACACACTGCAAGATGGCCCTCCTTCCTGCAATCTGCGTCAATATACGACTTGCTTGCATGTCCGGGCCAAGCAGGCTGCGCTAAAGCTTTTTACGTGGTTATTCAGTTTCTCGCCATTTTCCTTCCCCTGGGCGCGAGGTCGAAAGCAAGGCCAAACAAGCCTTTCAGACTGCTGAAAGCATGGCTGCTCAGTTCACAGCTGCTGCATTGTTTCCTGGGCACCGTCAGCACACGCGAGGACTGGCATGCTACAATGTAATTGGCAGTTGAGTGTGCGAGAAAAACAGTTTGTCTGAGTATAAGTGTGTTTGTGTGTCTTTCTCTCTCTGCCTCTCCCTCCCTCTGCTTCATTCCCTTTCCCTCAAAGCTCTGTTACCAAGAGTTCAGCCGTTCTGATGCCTGACAAACAAACAGTGCATGGGGGCGGAGCTCTGCAATGCTCTGTAGGAGGTGGTTTAGGACGTTGTTCGAGGACACTAGCGACTTGGGTCACGCACGCATCTGCTTTTGGAGTTCGAGTCTTTTTGGTTTGATCGTGTGGGTCGGAAGGCGCTACAAGCAATACATCTGCGCGTGACACCATCACTCACATGCAGATTAATACTTGACGGGTGGCTTGAACTGCTTGCCAGGTCATGCCATTCACCACGTCTGTGTACCTGAGGACAGCAGAACATGAATGTCTCGGCATCGCGACCGAGACTGACTGGGCATGACGGCGAATGCCAGGTGACCCGAGGCTTCGCAGTACATCCTGCGCCATCTGGGCGCGAATGCCTGCGGAATGAAGGTATCTGACGAACTGCAGAAGCTTTCCCAAACTGCTGCGCGTCAGCGCGTCCTCGGGCGCAGAAAACCACCATCGGGGTGTCCGTGTCTGGTGGCAGTTGGTTTTTGCGATATTTGATCCTGAGAGATAGACTTCCACGGCAAAAGCGCACTTGTTCGATAACTACTGAGGTCATTGTCAGAGCGGCACCGTCGCCAAATGCTTCAGAAGGACGGATAAGCACTTCCGCCGGTGTGCACAGCTTTTCCAGTCAAGAAATCAGATGCAAGTGATGATGTGTCCGAGGTTTTCACTAGAATTGTGATACTGGCGTAAGAGATCATTGGCAACACGAAGCGAGGAAGGATGCACCAAACGATGTGGCTGCAGGTTCTCATAGACAACCTTGAACTTACTCGAAAGCGGAAGCAACCCAAAGCAAACTGCCATGAACTGCAACTGCAACACTGGAAGAATCTGGAAGGAGCCCAATCCCTGACTGCAGCAAGACTCTCGGTATGCGGAATGTTCACGCTTCCTGGAACATGGCCGTCCATATACCTCGGCTGTGAAAGAGAAGCTTCCGCTCATGCCATCCGGTTTCACACCAACCTCTATGCCCACGAAAAACACTGCATTGACATGACCCCTCCAGCACGCTAAGGCTGTGAGACAAGCTTGTAATCAGTTTCTTCTCAGTGACTCCTCCTCGGTTCGCACATCGAGGAGAACCACACCTGAGCAGGAGTATCTGCGGATTCCCCGTTGCTATCAGCACATTGAGCAAGCTAGACGTGATGATGTGCGGTCGAAGCCGGTTGCATGAGCCATGTGCGTCATATGCCCGAACCATCATCAGCCTACACTTTCAAAGGCAGGCCGCCGGGCTTCAGCAACTGCTCCACCACGTCGCCTTCGCCTGCCATGACAGATTTTAATTTCAGATTCTGCTGGAGATAGTGACACCGTGTGGGGATCTGAAAGGATGTGGAGACAAGATGCTCTTCAACTGAGTTTCTGACACCGAAAATCTCAAAACCTCGCTAATCTGCATCCCCGCATCCTTCGCCACCACGTGCATGGCGAGCAACTTGCGCGGGATGCGCTCTCGGAGATCCTCGGTGCAACGTTCGACGCTGGAATGGGCGTGGGCCATGCAGCCCAGTGAGGGCTTGGACTCAAAAGCAAAGTCCAACTTGTCAGACGGACGTGGTTGCAGAGGACCAACTTGGACACAGCAGCTGGATAGTCGAGACGGGCATCAAGGCTTTTATCAAGCTTTTCTGTAGAGCTTGTAGGATATGTGCTCGAAACTCAAAGCCGATCTAAAACCGACCCGGGCGATTTTGCAATGAACCTCCAAAACTTTCTGCAGACAAGGCGCTGAGTGCTGGAGTAGTGGAAGCCGGCACAAACGTCGCGAAGGGTACCATCCTGCTAAACCATGCTGTGTTTCTCAAGCCTTCGTCTTAAAGACTTAGGCCTTGACGTGGTGAAATGTGCTTGGGAACAGGTCGATGTCTCACCCCCTGTGTCTGCAAAGAAGCATTTTCTGCTTTCAGACCTTTCCCTAGTCAAGAAGTCCTGAGGAAGCAGAGCAGAAGCAATGCGAAGGCTGCGCAGCATCGCGAAGGCTTTGCCGTATGCGCCATGGCTTGGCAATGCTCCGGGGCTCTATGCAGCTCTGTTCTGTTTCGGTGGGACACGCGCAGACTATGCGTCGCCTGCATGGAGGAAGCCAGTTCGTACTTACGACCTCTACGCCGCTCCGACAGTTGTCGTGATTGGGCCGCACGTTGTTGGCACCCAAAAGCATTCGTCTCGAAGAGCCCGCCATGATATGAGATCTCAGCAGACGTATCTTCATATACATTGCCTTTGCAATTGCTGCTGTCAAGCTACTGCTGAGCAGTCCGAAGACAGTTTGTACAATGTGCCCGTCCTCTTCGAGCTCATTCGCTTTCTGCTTCATGTGGCCGAGTGCAGCTTCCTTTTCATTTGCAAATGGCACATGCTCCCCACTGAGAGTAAACACCTATGCGCTGCTGTGCGTCATCCCCCCAGTGCTTATGCTAACCATGAACAAGACCACAGCGCCGCGTGCCAAGTTTGCAAATACAGCTAGAGTATGAGCCTCTGGCCTTGTCATCCAACAGGTGCTGCGCCTCAGCTTGAGATGTTGCAGGTGTCAGAGAAGTTTCAACCTACTTTTGAGCCATGAGCTCACGATATGGAAAACAATGGAAGTTGACATTGAAACAAGTTCTTCGGCTTGACGGAGATAGAGTCAGAGCTGAAAGACATGCTGTGACTTTGTGCACTTTCGTGCAGAAGCCGTCCCGCCTGTGACCGGGTCATCTGAGCCTGCAGGTCTTCCCACACTAAGTGTTAAGGCAAGATTGAAAGCTTCGCTTGAACGTAGATGCTCACTCTTGCTGCATTGCCCATTGACTTTGGCACCTCTTCCCGCTCCCGCTCCAGGTCTACGCGGAGGCGCCGGGCCTATGCAACACAACGCAGTCTGCGGAACTTTGCATGTGGCTCCTCTTTCTCAACTTAGAAGCCTTGCTGCTCTGTATTAAGTTGCACAATAAGCTCCGGCACCTCCGCTCGAAGGTCATCAATGGAGGCCTACTCAGCACACAGCTTGCGATGCGGCAGGAATCGCCTTTGCAGCTCGCGACAGACGACCTTGACTCAATCGCCTTGGGTTGCTGAGATTCGTCGTAGGTGTGTTCTGAGCGGAGGCCGCGAAGGGCTAGATGTTTTTTGTCACGGTGCCTTGGGGGGCTTTGAGGACCTGTACAGGTCGAGGGGCAGCCAGCGAATCCTTTAAGATATTTTAAGATTATTTCCAGCTGATGTTAGCTGGTAGCTCGCGCTACCAGTAGCTTTGCTGGCCGCACCAGTGGCAGCATGGCTGGAGACATCGCCCTTAGAGCTGTCCAAGTCGCCGGCGGGTGGCTTCTGGCCACTGCGGCACTATACTTTTCTATATTGCTTATCCAAATGAAAGCATAGCCAGTTGAGCTTTGAGCGGGCCCTGGCTACAAAAAGCGCTCGATCAGCGACTTCAGCCATGATTGGCCCTTCCCAAAGCGCACTATACATTTCTGCGCTTAAATCTTTGCACCATCCCGAGAAGACGAATTCTGGGCTTCAGCATTCAGCTTTCGACGATGCAGGATTGCCAGAATGACCAAAAAAGTCGTGGCCATCATCACTAGGCTGCCTGCTCTGTTTGCATCGACGCTGACACGCTTGATCAACAGCACCCCGGCATCACGTCAAGAGTCACGAGAGTGTCACAAGCGTCTCTTCCACTCCACTCAGCTGTCGGCCTGAGAGCACGATTGCGAATTCATAGCCCCATCTCTCCGCGATCAGGCCTGCGATCTGAGACCATGACAAGACCGTGTTCGATGAGCAAACAGTTGTCAATATTTTGTCAATGGGCTAGCTGGCGTTCTGGGCCGCGAACGGACATGCTTAGCTCGGCTTGTGTGCAGCTGCTTGCCTCAGGCATTTTGGTCCCTCCAGCCTGCAACAGGAACTCCAAGCAAGTTCCCCATGCCCACTCCGACTCGCGAGACGCCGTGGTACAACGGCAAGGCCTGTAGCGAGTACGGTTGTGCAACGAGGGAGCTTGGAGTACCCACCCCAGAGTGGCCAAACATTTCCGTGAGGCCTGGGTGCCGAAGAGCTCGCTCAGCACCACGCTAATTAATGCAATGACAGGGCCAATGCAGAGGCCTTGGCTGTGTCCATCCGATGTCCCGATGCAGGCACTTCTCTGTACTTGATGCAACGGCCACTAGCGGTCACTAGCGACCTCCGTTGCGACCCAATCCAGCGCCACTTTACTGGGTAAGAAACCGTTCTGCCAGGTTGTGCCAGGTTGCCATAACACGCACTCCAAACAAGCAAAGACTCCAAGTTCCTCGGCATGTGCAGTGTGGGCTGATCAATCTCCTCGTTTCTGGGTTTTCTTCCTGCGAATTCCGATCGATGCTTTGAAGCCCTGCCATATTTGCAATGCCACAGCTACCCCGGTATTGTTCAATGTGTTGCCAAGACGCCAGCAAAACGGCAGACAGCATGTTACGGCTCCAACCAGAATCTGGCACCCCATGTGAACACGTCCTCGGATAGGAAGGCATACTTCTAGGTTCCGTTTATCCGTTTTTATTAACCTCATCGCATCGCTGCTGTCACTCAACAGGACTCTTGTCGACTGATGCCTCAGCCAGCGGCGTGGCCCTCCGCAAATATGAGAAATTGCGCCCAGGCAAAGGCGCGTTAGCAGCGCACAAATGCCTGCCCACTTGAGTCGGTCGGCAAGCACCCGCAGAATTCGATTGCCGCAAAGAGGTCACAGACAAAGCATAACCTGCGGTGACGCACCCCTTTATTGGATTGCGGGGCGAGTGGCCGATCACAGTGTAGGCATTGGCTGCAGCCTCTGCTGAGTGCAGCAACAAGAATCAAGACAACGAGTGAGGGAAAGATGCTCGAAGCCGCACAACAAACGCTTCTCTACGCGATTCCTAACGCAGTGATGCTTGAATTCATGTGACATTGGCTCTACGGTGGTCGAGCCATAGCTTCGCAACCGTCCATCATGCCTCCGGCGGCAGCTGAAGCTCATTCTGCGCGAAGTCCGCCAAGAGGGCCGGCGGAACAAAGTATCCGAAGAAACCTCGGTACTTAGAGACACTCTCAGACCTGGTCGAGCATGATGGAGGCTTCGGGCTTTCTGAAAGAGGGTTCGCAATGATCAAAAGCGTCATGTAGCCCATACTCCCGCCAAGTGGCATACAAACATGTCCAACCACCAGCATACAAACCGTGGATCTCGGCACGGATTGGAGGCTTGTTGCCCCTTTGCCTGGTCCCGTGCTGCTCTTGGTTTTGAAATGTTTTGAAGAGCTGACAGGTGAGGGCAAGCAGTGGTGTCCCGTGGAAGGCAAAGCTGCCATCGGGAATACGAGGCATAAGCAATGCAGTTGACTCGTACGAGTGCCTACACGAGCACTGCCAGTCGAGGTCTAATCGCCAAAGCTGACAACTCCGTCGACCCGTGTGATTCATCCGAGCGCTGTGCATAAACGAAAATCAGCCCGAGGCTGGAAGGAGCACTGCCACCCCGACCTAGTGTTTACTGATGCCGTCGATGGTGTAGCTTCCTGCTATGGTGTCTGCCTGCCTCCCGCTGTGGTGCCGCTACCTTCGAAAGGAAAGAGCAGTGCCGCTCGACACAAGCAGCGGGTGGCAGCTTGAAACAATACAAAATGTTGCAAAATCAGTTTGGGGGGAAAAGGGTCGGTGCAGGGACTGCAGGGATTCCCACCCAACATCTCCCTTCGGAGGTTCTGCGCTTGCCTACGTTTCACCTCTAGTTAACTTCCTACCGTTCCCTTTTTTCCGAGTTTAGGGTTTGCCACCCAAGGTCCTGCTTTAGGTTTTGAACAGAAACCCTCCAGGTACGCAACAACGCTAGGTAGATCAACTCAGCGAAGTGGCATCGGATGCCTCAGTCTTCGGCACCCGGAAAAGCGGCGCCGCCAGCCCCAAAGCCAAGAAGGTAGCCAGGGCGTTTATTCGCATCGCCCAGCGCCAGTCGAACACTTCTGAGATGCAAGGGCTTTGGCGGCTTTCGCAGACTTTACTGACGCGTCGAACTGATGGTCTGCCATGGTCTTTTAGGAGCCCAAGGCTGAGTATCTCGGAAAGGCCCTATGCCGACTTGCTCACGTAACCAACACAATAGCTTTCCCTAACTTCAATGCCTGTGAGAGTGTTGTAGAACTGAGGCAGCAGAATTGTGCCGACGCTTGTGCCACCTCAGTTTCGTGCCACACTGCATGCATTTTTGACTTTGGGCCCTCTCCATCTAGTATGGTTCTCTATAACTCGAGTGCCGGAATGCATGTCGCCAGGCCCACCAGTGTAGCTCTCCTTAGTTCATGATGCACTCGAAAGTCTCGGCGTGGGCCTAGGGCTTCCTTTTGCACCAAGGCTCTTCTTTGCAGCAACGCTGTCGATCAATGCCACAAGGCCGGCCAGGTTCGAAGCACCCAGTCCAAGGCCTCGCGAGTTAGGAACTGATTTGCGATGGCATGAACGCAAGCATCTGCGTCCAGACTTTGAGAATACCGGGCTGCCAGGAACATAGGCTTGCAGGACAACGCCGCGGCGGGCACCGATTTATCGCAGATCTTATGCTTCGTCAAGCCAGAACCCTTCAATCACGTACCGCTGATTGCACGTGCAGATCAGGCCATGTCTTGAAAGTAGCGTAACGACATTCAACGCCACTTCAAGCGCAACGTTTTTGCAGGAAGGTCACGGAACCGAGCCGGAACCGCTGAACCGAACCGCTCCGGACCCGAACCGCTGGAACCGGGGATTGTATGGAAGCGCAAAACACCGCACTGAAACCAGAATTGCTCGAACCGGAACCGCGATTTGGGGTTTGGTTTTGGGGATGCTTTCCAGCTACTCTATCTCTAGCCGCCTGCCTGCAGCCTCTGCAGCCACCACCCACCAGCCGCCAACAAGCCAGCTTGAAACACATCAAACACCGGCCACCAGCCACGAGCCAAACCCCACCGCTAGCCGTCTGCCTTCTAACCACCCACCTTCCAGCCACCTGCCGTCCAGCCGCTGTTTGCAGTTACCAAAATAGTGACGTCGTAAGGGATTATAGTTGCCGAGATCCGGCATGTCGGCACCCTGTCCCGGAGATGCAAGGTGGCCCCGTGCTGCGAGCCCATCAGATCCACATCTTTCAGCGTCAGCCGCCCTCCCCGCTCACAATTGCATGAGCTGCCAAATGTGTGCGTGCCTGTCTGTGCGCATGTACCTCTGTGCATCTATACCTGCATGTATACACACATATATATATATACATATATATATATATGTATATGTATATGTATATGTGTGTGTGTGTGTACGAAAATCAAAGGCAATGCCACCGCCTCCAAGCCGACTGGCTCTCCGATGATTCTGGGGCGGACATAAACAAATAAAGACATAAATACATAGATAGATAGATAAATAAGCAGATAGATAAATATCTATCTATCTATCTATCTGTCTGTCTATCTATATATCTATCTATCTATCTATCTATCTATCTATCTATATATATATATACTAATTATAAAATGATTGAATTACGCAAGACATCCTCCGATCGTATTTTCGGAGAGATGGAGACATCGACAGTTCTTGGGATACATAACTGGATTTAGCTCTCTCTGGCCGCTCCCGCATTACTATTAATTAGCATTTCACCGGAAATATATATTACGAATTAGGTACCGGAAACAGAAAAATGGAATTTCGACTCTTGCACGTCCTGATCCACGATCTTCGAACCTCGCCCGTAGCAATAACCTCATAATGAAATAATGAAAATGGATATTGGTTACCCCCCCCCCCCCCTCCAATTCCTTAGTGAAAGAGTGGGCGACACCTAACTTACCAGCAGCCACCAGCCAACAGCCACGACCAGCCAGCAACCAGCAGACACCAGCCAGCAGCCAGCTGCCGGCAGCCAGGCGGCCAGCAGCCACCACCCAAGAGCCATCCGCGCATTAGCCATCAGAACCGACTCCGAGCCTTCAGCCGCCCGCCAGCCCCCGCAGCCGCCAACAACCAGCCCCCAGCCAACACAGTCGCCAGCCACCCGCCAGCCACCACCCATCAGCCACCCTCCAGTACTTGCACATCTCAGTGCAGCATGTACTGTAGTGGCTGAAGGATGGTGGCTGGGTGGCTGGAGGCGGGTCTGGAGATTGCTGCGTGTAGCAGCGGGGTGTGTAGCAGTGTGGCAGAAACAGTCCCAACCGCAAAAAACAAGAAATGCTAAGAACCGCGAACCGCACAGAACCGAACCGCTCAAAACGAACCGAATGGAACCATGTACTTCCAGCTTTTGTATCGTCCTGTGCCTGCCAAGATTACAGCCGGGTACGCGAGGAAGATGCTTTCCACCTGACTTGTGCGGGCAGTTGCCGCGTTGCAATATCTGTCTTCTGTTCCTATAGTTCACGTCGGCATTTCCCAACGCAGAACCAGCCTGAGCGAATAGTTGGAGCAAGCATTATGTAGTGATGCATTCAAGGGTGTGGAAAAAACTCCAATCACGCATTGCCGAGCGCTGCCATGCACTGCAGATCTTATCGCCCATTTCGACTGTCGATGGTACCCAGCCCCAATTCGTTCCCGTTTCCCAAGCGGCGAAGGACAGCGCCGCAAGGCCCGCGAAGGCGCAAATGCCCGCTACCTGTCAAAACGCGAAACCATGTGAGATGTGAACACAAGCGTCGTTGTCCAGTATCTTGACTTTGCTGAGCGGCGGTTGCGTGACCGAGGCGCCTTGGGATGAGGATTCCTGTGCAGGTGAATCTTGGCCCAGGTTGTGTTGCGCTGTCCATGAGTATCCAGGGGTTGATGGGTAGGAAGGCCGTGTACAGGCTTCGAATTGTCTGTTCAATGACCTCCGGCGACAGTGTTCTTCCTTCTTGACTCGAAACCTCCCATCGCACCTGCCACCAACGACCCCATGAACTGCGCGGTATTCATCGTGGAGCTAATGGCAGAGACCTCTGCTGCGCGCACATCAAAAATTATGCCTGCAGACTAGCTGCAGCATGCAGATGCACCAAGGAAACATTTTTGCTCGCGGGGCTTATGGCATCTTATGGCACCGGAACGGATGCATGAAGCTGCGAGCCTCCGTCAGGGAGACGTTCAAGTCTGCCTTGCGGCTATGCAGGTGTCGAGGAACTTTGGGCAGCTGGCACACGTATTCGAAGGAAAGCAAACCTTGTGCCTTGATCACGGGCAGGAAAACTCCGAAGCTGTAGATGGGCCCGAATGTGAAGACATGGTTCCTCGGACTGGTGTCGAACTAATGGTTTCAGTGATTCCAGTGTTTCGTGGCAGGCATCTAGCAATGCCAAACGCACGAAATGAAACTACATGCCTGCAAAACCGAGGTGTAAACTGAGAGTCAGAAAACTGGCACCCACCTTTGTCAAGCTTGCATTGCAGCTCATGCGTTGTCTGGAGGTTTCTTGCTCCATAGCTCAGTGCTCATGCACGGATGAAGCTACCACTATCATGTATGGTTGGATTATGCTATTTCGAACCAGGCATCTGGAGCTGGAGCTTGCTTCTTTGACTACCGGTACACTCCATAAACCTCGCCGCGCTGGCCCCCGATACGTGGCCGGAATGCTCAAGATGACTCCGTGGAATTTCGGGGATGACGAGAACCCATGTTCTATGCACTGCACTGAAAGGGCTGCGGCAACAGCAAGTTGTACTCCATGTCGGCCATCGGAAAATATGTCTACTGATCATGTCTGCAAACGGCAAGATGAAGTCTTCAGACTGCTCAGCCCAAGCCGTGACCAACCCCAACCCACCCAGCCTGCATAGCCTGCAGAGGAAACCACAAGTCATCAGAACGGGATCAAGAGTATCTTCTGCAATGTCCAGAAGCTCGGGATTGGCTCTGCATGCTTGCGTGTGGTCCCTTCGGATGATCAGTGTGCAAGCCTGCCACGGTCCCCCTTAGGGTGACTCTAGTCTCGCTCCACTTTGCTTTCCTTTCTGTGTCAGAAGCCTCCCCACTCCTCCAGTCTCGCTTGCTCTCTCTCTCACACACACTCTCTCTCTCTCGCTTGCTTCCCACCTGACGCTGCCGCTCCAAGGCCTGCCAGGCCTTCAAATCCAAAAGCAGAGAGTGCATCTGAGAAGTGGCGACAAGCTGGCATCTAAGATGGTCTCTAGCTTTTCAGGTCTTCGCTGCTGTGAGTACTGGACAAGTCCAAGCAACTAAGTTAAGTGAGCCCTTGACATCCCTTGATGCACTCTGTGGCGGTCTCTACAGCACCTCGAGAGGTCAGTTGGTTCGCCTTGATTCACATGTGCTATCACGTGATATGGTTACGTACAGCTGGAAGACAACCGCAGGTATTGCAAGTTTTGAAGCCTTCGTTCAAGACTTGTCAGAACCATGCAAAAGCAAGCAGGGCCTCTTTCTCACGACGTTCCGCTGCCGCCTTTCAAAGCTGACACGCGCAACTGCAATTTTCCGCTCTTGCCGTCAAGCATTCCAGCTTGTCCCGAATGCCAGCTGGACCTCGCCTTCTGCTCCGTGACTGCTTGAAGCTCCGCGTCGGCACCAGCATCAACCGGGTCCTGCCGAACTGCAGCTAGGTTGAAACCTTTGTGAGCTGTCTTGCTGGCTGGCAAGAATCCCTCTTCTTGGAATCCATCTACAAATACTCCTCATAGCATCGCCTACATAGCTTGCACATTTACAGCCGGGTACAGGCAGTGAATCTTCGCGCAAAATCCTGCAAAAGAGCAGCAATCTGGAATTACTTGTACCGCAGCAGTGCTTCCTCCACCACGAGAAAACTGGAGTCGTTTTGGCTCCCTGACACTGCGAGTCGGAAAACAGGAGAACAATCGAACATAACAGAATCCCGCTGTGCACTGCAATCCAGGTGCCTTTTCCGTGGAGTTTCTGCTTGAGCATTTGCGCCTGCAGGTTGCAAATGATCAAGTGGTCGAACACAAATGCCGAAGAGAGTTCTCAAAAAGGTGGTGGGCAAGCAAAAAGGCGAGGGGGGGTGACCACCACCCCCCCCCCCTTGAGATGTAACTTGGGCGTGTGAACCCTCGCAAGGCGTACAGGCACACAAGCACGCAAGTGTCTCTTTTAAAAGCTATCCGGCTGAAGTCCAGATACTCTGCTATGCTAGAA